CAGAAGTTAGAGTTCCATTGCTAGTTTTATATTGTTCTTTTCACCATTTATGGGTAATTTGAATTATTTCAAAAAAATTCTGGATCATCTTCGAGCAGATTACAGCAAATTTGATTTCCACCCAAAGAATGTGAGCAGACCATTTAGCCTCACAAGCTTTGTTTACCTTTCAATCTATTGCTCAACCCTATATATGCTCTTTAGCTCCATATCCTGCAATATATCTTTGTTTTAAAAAGAATCTAAATCTCAAAGTTAACGTTGACCAAGCATTGGTAAACTTTTTTTATTCACTCACAGGATGAGGGCACTGCTGGCCAGGCAGCATTTATTGCCCATCCCTAAATGCCCAGAGGGCAGTTAAGAGTCAGCCACATTGCTGTGGGTCTGGAGTCACATGTAGGCTAGATCGTGTAAGGACAGCAGATTTCCTTCCCTAAAGGACATCAGTGGACCAGATGGGTTTTTCCTGACAATTGACAATAGATTCATGGTCATCACTAGACTCTTAGGTCCAGATATTTAATTAATTCAAATTCCATCATCTGCTGTGGCAGGATTCGAACTTTGATCTCCAGAACATTACCTAGGTCTCTGGGTTAACAGTCCAGGGATAATACCACATTTTGTCTAGAATTGTTTCTGAATTTCAATCTCAAAAAAGATTTAAAGTTAACACTGGCATTAAATTTTAAAACTATACATCCAAGTCCTCAACTTCCCACCAGCAGAAATAGTAGAAATTTTCTCTGTCCTTTCAATTCCCCTTATTTTGATCAAGTTGCAAGTACATGATAAAATGTATTAATTTTCATTAGTCTCAGATCCTAGTCTTTCTTACACCAATTTAATTTAGAGGTAGTTTCACAGTTGCACTTTAAGCACCTCCTCTTACCTGAAAATTGATGCGAGTAGGCACGGAAAGGGATTTCCTATTCATAAAACCTAGGGAATTTATTTCCTGTTTTCTCAAACAGATTACTATGATAAAATAGTGTTCTAGCACTATTACAGTGGTGCCTATTTGACAATATCCTATGAATGCCTTTCCTGTTTTGCCACATTGTCTTATATTTACCCTGTATCTCATGTTTGCTGTTCATTTCAGATACTAATGTTAACTTTTATTTTAAAAACAGTTCAAAACTGAACTGGGTGCATTGAAAACCATTTTGTAGATACAAAACAGATCTGCTCACAATTGTGTAAGTTAGTGTATTTTTAAAATGTCATTGCACACTGGGGGTTTTGGTTTCTCAGTCTCAAAATTGCTGTTGACTATTCCTGTGCACGGAATTGTTTCTTTCACTAGCTTGTAAACTGCACACAAGAACTGGTTAATTAAAGACATCTTGCCAAGTGAAAAATTAAAAATTAAACTAAATAGAAATCAGATACTATTCTCCCCTAACTATCTACAGCACAACCATCCTCACCTTCTATAGCTTTGTTTGCTCTCCCTCATTGGTTGAATGTACAGTACCTTCTGCATTTTTATTTGTTGATGTGTTGCAGACATCACTGGCCAGGCCAGCTTTTATTGGCTTTCCCCAATTGCCCAGAGGGCAGTTAAGAGTCAACCACATTGCTATGGACCAGCATTTATAGAAAGGCCAGACCAGGTAAGGATGGCAGATTTCCTTCCTGAAAAGGAAATTAGCAAACCTGTTGGGTTTTTATGGTAAATTGACACTGGGTAAATAGTCACCATTAGGCTAGATTTCACCCCCCCCCCACCTGATTTTTAGCGAAAATTTAGACTTACTATCTGCCATAGTGAGCTCTAAACCAATGACACCTGAATATTAGACTGGGTTTGAATTACAAGTCCAGTGACATTGCCACCGTGCCACCATCTTGTCCCTCTGCTTCTTCCTTTCTGTCTTCTTCTCCATTGCCCCATGTCACTGCCCCTCCCTCATTTACCCACTCTTCTTTAACTCTGACCTTCCTGCTTCTCCTACATTGGTTTCATTATACCCATGGTCTATCCTCTCAAACTCAAAAGTTCAAATATTCTTGATTACATGTAAACATGAAGGAGATTTTAATATTTATAAAACATATATGTCTCAGCTGCACGCAATTATGCTTTGAAATCCAGATGAGTGTCAAGTGGGCGGATGTGTCAGTGCATGTGGCCACTATGACACACAAAGCAAAGCAATCTAATGACTTGAATTGTAGTATTTTTGGTGGTGCTTGAGGAAGTGGAGGAGGTCAAGTTTTTTGACCTTTTTGTTCTTTGGTTTAAGTATTGCTGGCAAAGTCAGAGTTTATTACCCATTCTTAACTGCCCTCATGAAGGGGATGGTGGATGCTTTCTTTAACTCCTGCAGTTTACAATGCTATTAGGAAACGGGGCATTTCTGGCTTTTGGCTGAGTAACTGTGAAGAAATGGTGATATACCTCCAAGTCAGG